GCATGTAAAGAAATGGGTTTGACGCTATCGCTATTCCACATCCGCACGTACAATGTTGCTCAGCTGCATGCCAAAGAAGTAGAAACTTGTCCCAGATGTTGTTGCCATAAACGAAAATGTATCAATATTCACCATGGAACTGTCCACCAAGAGACACCTTCATATAGCTGTGATGTGTCTTAACAAGGACTTTCACTGCATCGACACAGTAATAAAAGTCATGCTATAAGAATACCCCAAAGTACCACTCGACCAAGGTACAGGTTTTTGCGTTGACATATCCAAGGGAGTAAAACCAACGCCATCGTGCTATCAAAGATGTATCCGTCATCTGAGTGCCTAATAATCGACACAAAAGCTACCTTGCCGTCCATAAGACTAGCGGATTTCCAATATCAATTCCACAGATGAACTGGTATGCGTGAACGTGCTAAATTACACATCGATAAATACTAAGTTCACCATACTAAAAAAGAAGATAAAAGTGAAAAAGACAAATTCGAGTTCGCCAACAGGAACACCTACCACAGGACATGTACCTTATGGACAGCCATCGCTAATTCGATGCATCGGTACCCCTTAGCTATAACCGCCTCATCTCTCACACTCCACCAATCACTAACCTTGGCAGCACTTCGTTAGAAGTGGTGGCCCAAGAAGCATTCGTAAATCGGGTAATCCGTCCACCAGTGCCTTCACCAGAAAGCAAATACCAGTCCAAGGACTGACGCGTTGTACCTCAGTACATCTTTCTTATTCATTTCTCTGTGTACGCCAGCGAAAGGGAGACACAGCGTCGGTGTCAAAGACCACAGCTGCATAAATCTTCGCCACAATTCCTTTCTAGCCATTTTTGCATTATTAACTTTTTCCTCCTTTCCTTATCCTTTAAATCAAAACTTGACTACCACAGTTTTATGCCACTTAGTTAGACTAACCACGCACCAAGGCTAGTTGGAGTGGTGTGTATCCCAGTATTACAGATACCGTATTCCCATTTTTCCCGCCCACTAACTATATTTTGAATGCTCCGTCAACCGACGGCCACGCATGATATCGGTCACAAGACTTGGGCCCAAATAAGTTCTCTAGGTGCTCCACCCTACTCTTCCCAACATATAACATTTCCGTTAGCCTACTGTCACTTCCTCTCACTTAGGTGACGCTATTGCCTCCATGGCAACAAAGTTGGAATTGGTACTCAAAACTGCATATTGATGCCTCGAAGTTCCGCTGTGCTTGCTTAGTCATTTTTCTTCTAGGCATGTGACACTAGGGTCTGTTACTCGTACGTACATCTACGGTACCCGTTGTTTAGATTCAATTTCACTCCGTAACAGCCGATGTCTTTCTTAATTCCACTTTCACAGTCTGCACACTGAATTGAGTTCGTTCGTTACCCACTATTCAATTCTTCAGTCCGCTACGTTCAACAGTGGGCGCATACACAAGCACTTGCCAATCTTAAAGCAGTGATTCACAATTAGGTGGCGAAAAATACGGACTCCATTTGATACCTAAATCAGGAAACATTTCAACCTGATTTATATGGCCTGTGTAACAATTACCAACAAAACCATGTCATCTACGTAGTCTAGGTCCACGGCTTTGCACCATGGTAGAAGCTCATAACCACAGTTCTGGGCTATTTCAACACTCGGTAGAAAACTTCCTTGATGGCAAATTTGAACGTGAAAGGCAAGATAGGGTCAAGTTGACTTACTCCGTTGTTAGCAACGAGCGGGTAAGAAAGCCTGATATAGGTTCTAACCTTGCCCCACGTGTAATTGCACGGTTCTTACAAGATTAAGTCAGACTTGTCGGGTACACTGTTCGTTGCAGATAATCCTATATAGATGATCAACCTACTGATTCAAAAGCAGTCTGAAGATTCAAGAGCACTAGAATTGCTGGTATTTGGCAGACGTAATGGTGTTCGAGAATTTGACGTGGCTTGAAAAACTGGTAGAATTAATTTCGGCTCAAACGAATACTAGCTCATTCCTCACGAAACATAATTCCTCAGGTAGCTGAAAACCCAAGAACCAAGATAAAATCCAAACCTTGATCGCAACCGAGATAAGTGAGATTTCTCAGTAACTGATGCATTCGCTGCGGGAGACTTTCTTGTATAATAATGCCAAGACAGATACACCCCATGAGCTTTGGATTTGCTCATCAGTCCATGCGTTCTGTAACAATGGGATCCTTTCGTTGACGACTCCGTTCCATCCATCTGAATAAGGCTGGAATAAAACTGTCAGGATCAGGGCAGTTGCAGTGTTTCAGAATTTGTATTTCTCTCTGAATATGTTTCAGTGGGAATATATGTGAAAACTGGCTAGCCTCCGCATGATGGCACAGCGTGTGTCATCGGGGATTATGTTAGATAATCAAATCGAACGACGGCATCTTATCCAATGATCCAGACGTTTGCGTAGGTTAAGCTTTGTACCTACTAACCAACAGCCTATATCGCTGATGGCATATCCTTTGCATCCAGTGAATTTGATGAGATAAAACAAGCTTCTGCTGCTCCCAGCAGAGTCAGCCACTCCAAGTTCCATGGCTCGTTTAGACCACTATGATTCACGGTCACGTAGAAGATTTACTTTCAATTATTGAGAAATTGACCGGCAAAATTCATCATGATCCACACCGACGAGCACAGCTCGTCGACGATCAATCAGCACCGAGGATGCTGCTGAGATCCAACTTATACTTGTGAAACTAACAAGACTGAAGCTGGATAAACTCGCCGGGGCAATAACCTGCCACAAGCGTTGGCAATGCTGGTCTGCGTCCAGCTGATGGGGAAAAGTGAGACACTCACGAAGCTTCATTAGACTGTCCACTTGCACGGTGCGATCTCCCAATCTACCAGTGTTCAGTAAGCACTAGAACACATGTAATCCATCAATATACTGACTTACGATCAGATTCGACACAGGTTGAACAATAAGATTTGCAAAATCGAATACCGTCACGCCGCTGTTGACTTATGGCGAAGTGGTTACTTCGCGATCAAGGCCAGGAAGATGATGGAGCATTCCACGAGCAAGTAAGGTGCCAAAAATTCGAGCTAGAGAGATAAAGGCGGCGGTAGGTACATAGGTTGAACAGTCTTTCTCTGTTATACGAGAAAACGTTGTTTCATCCATGTGGACCTTCGAGATGGCGTCCGCTTGGTAACAAACGATCAAAAGCAGATTGGAAACCCCAGCAAAATAATGATTTACCTTTTTGGAGCCATTAGCAGCACATCGTGGACGTGCTGATAAAGTTGGCCCTTGACAGTACCTGGGCTACTGTCAGTGGCATCATAGCTGAGGTTACAAAAACGACAACTTTGTTACCTCGACACCCGTTAATCTTGCACTAGCCATGGCGCCTCATAACGCGGAGGCAAACCGTTGCTTTTAATACATACAAGTAGGGCGGCTTCAGCTGTAAGATTAAAGAGTTCCTAACACCAGCTTGCCCAGCTGTGACAGTCGCGGCTTCTCCAGAAAGACTAAGATGATGACAGACGTACAAGGGAACTCGTGCTGCGATCATAAAGCTATGTTTCCATCAAACAGGGGAGATCTACTGTTAGAGTTTTTAGACTGCGTGCAAGACTAACTTGTTGTATAGTCAGCTTTAATAAAAATTTAAGTAATCGTCAGTATGCTTCGCTGTTGCGCGACCACCACCAGTCCCGTACGAGCTGAGTATACCGCGAGTACACCCGCCCTTCCGTGAATTCGAATCGGCGAGCCAATGACTGCATGCCAGGCGTGCAGAAAACTTCGCCACCGGCCGACCAATCTGCTTTAGGATTTCTACACAGAACACTGCAGAGTTTGATTATGTTGTTAGTTGCAGAAGCATAGATGGGAGAGATTGGGGCTGGTTAATCCGGTTGAGTAATGTGTGAGGGAGTTAGATGAAGTTAATGCAACAGTTTCACGGCAAGATAGAAATTCTGTTCTCCTCTGAATAATCTGACAATAACGTGGCTGAATGATACAGGGGCAAAGTAGACAAGTAGTTGGGATTTGAATGAAAAGTCGGCTTAATAACAACAACAACAACAACAACAACAACAACAACAGAGCAAGCCATCAGTAAAGCGAAGGAGTGCAGGTCAGTTTGTTTGTTCGGTTCATCAATAGGTGAGGCGCTGCTTGGTTGCCTAGGCAGAAGTAGAGGTTGTCGTTGGGGAAATACCACCCCGAGCCTTTTACAGACGGGCCTAGCCCACAAGGCAGCAGGGTGAGGTAAAGGAGGTGCACCCGAATAATCAGTTCATAGGTGTTCCGTTTGGCTATAACCCATACCAGGTGCCCAACGCTCCCAATGCTGATGATTTTGTTTATTAGTAATTCACATTCACCGAGTAACAGTGCCTTTGTGTGTTTTATGGTTGCGTGGGTTGATTATTCAAATGTTCAAGTAGCTGTCGAAATTGGCGATTAAGTTGCACGCATTTCGTTACTAATCAAGGTTACACCAGTAGTGAAGAACTGGTGGTGTTATCGTACTTCGAATAACCGATAACCAAGAATTCTATCTGGCTTGACCAATGTGATACAAAGTGGTCGACCTACACCTGCACTTAAAACTGTGCTCATACCCATACTGGAATACTTTTGAAATATTCAGGGTGTTGGCCCTCGGAACAACTCATATTCAAAAATGTTGGTGATTAGCCATAGTTACGGATTGAAAAGATACAAAGCTTTGTGTAATTTTTGTCGACTGCGGGTACACTACACTTGCTGATTTCGATAACATTGGAGCATGAACAGTAGCGACTTCAGCAATGGTTGCATTTTACTCTCCAAGTGACATGTGTGGTTCCTTACACACAACCAAGATGGAGAAACGCACTGTAAAACCGATTATTGGTGCCAAATATTTGGAATAATGATTTTGATGGAGTAAATATGTTGGCTTTAACTGAGCTGCTGCAAATGGAAACGAACTCAACTGATCATAATTGTAACTATGCTTACCGTATTATCGTGATTGTTTCAAACGCCGCTGACGAAATATAATTTTTTTGACAGTAGCTTTTCTCCCAACCTTCAGACCTTGCCTTCTGCCAAAACTATAAATCGTTTGCGTTGCGTTAAATGTATCGATGATTTACCTGAAACGCCCTTAAAAGCATCATATGATCACTGTAACTGTCGGCCGCAAACTTTTTTCGTACGTTTGTCCATTCTCTTCTTTCCAAAGCGTTCTTTGGTGTGACAACTAAAAGGACAAACGGATATACCTCGAAACAACTCCACAATTTTGTAGTAATGATCTATCAATGTGTCGGCAACCATACGTTTATTCAGTGAAAGAGTACGGTGCATCCCCAACCTCCAATCCGCATAGAGCAGATTAGCGATAGTAGAGAGCAAGTTAAAAACCATTTGTTAATGGAACTAGAAGTGAATGCGTTAATGAAAAATGTGCCAGCATCTGTTTATTTGGTATATTTTGACTCAATATAAGATTATATTTCACCCGTTGAAGCTGCTGCAAGCCTTCTTTGGTGGGCGACAGAACTCATTAAGCCAATGCAACTCACTTCATGCTCAAAAGGTACACAGATTACTTTGTGCCGGTAGCCGGGTGTAACTGCAAACAAATGGTAACTACGTAGGATAGCCGGCTTTATGGCTAGGCCAATCAAGCACTTACTTACTTCGGTTCTACGCTACTCGGTGCTCTCCCTCACGGTCTCACAAAAGGTTGCTTGAGAACAAAATGGTTGATAGTTCAATCATACAGATTTGAAAATGTTCTGCTCCCTTAACATTAACTGGTACGCATAGTCAGTGGAGACAGCGTAGAATGCGCGTATCAGGGAAGTTACAAGAAATCATCGAGCGCTCTCATTAAGAAAAATAATAACGACGGCGACAACTATGTTACCTAATGTGTACCTTCACCTCCCCGTCGAATGCACTAAGAACAACAACAAGAAACCAAAGCGGAATGCGGTCTTACTGGCCGGTAGCCGGATGGATACGGCGCCCGCTTGCAACCCGTATGTCAGCACTTCTAGCCCGCTTAGGGGACCGAGAGACACGCAGCATCCTTCACCCACGTGCGACTGAAGGCGGTTGCGTGGCCGATACGGTATACCGGCATACTGCTGACGTGACCTATTTTTGTCTTAGTGTGACAAAACTCTTTTCACACCGAGAAACATTTGGCGAGTGAGAGAGCCAGATGTATGTTTAGCCTCTTGGATGGGATGAGATGCAACCAATCAACACGATTACCCAATGATAACTCGATATGCTGAGTCAGTTGACTTAGCTAAGTAACCGAGTCACCGACAGTCAGGGTACAGATGAGGTTAGTGTGTAAGTTTCAAGTACCCGCACAACTTTCCATCTGCTCATCCGCCTTTGAAGGACACTCGAACTCACCGTACTAACCAAGGGCATGATGCACAAAGTTGTACATTGAACGATATTTATGCACGAACTCGACAAGCTTTTGCTCCTTGGAGGCGATTAAAGACCATACCCTCCTGACTACCGGCTCTGATATTGCCCTGGGTAATGAAGCAATGGTTTATGGTGGGCATAGGAAAAAGGCATGACAAGTCTCCTAGGATGGTATGTGTGCGAAGTACAGGATAAATAAACAGTGCCAGTTAAGAAACGCGGGGGGAAGTGGCTCATCAAGGGGTTTAAAGTATGTAGCAGCCCAAAAGTATTTTTCTTATCTTCATGGTACCCATTTGTTTCTTAATCGTACATTCATGGTTATCATTTTAACGCCGACCTTAGGGCACTTGCACTATGTCTGGCTCATCACTTGTGCTCAGGGTAAGTCACGACATTAACACTTGCTCTCGCCGCCTCATTCGTCTTCGTCCGTTTGTAGCCTAACCCGAAATCAAGCCGTTGTGTCTGCTCTGCCGGTTTGCTGACATTCGCACCAGTGCAAGCGTACTATCTCGTACTAGTACATACTAGTCTTAGTAAAGGTATTAATATATAGCCTGTAATGCAGGATGAGTATGGCACTGTCCACTGGTAGTTCTGCATTAATACCATCATCATGCAGTGTAAATGTGTCAGGGTTTCTTGAAGATATCGTTTTTATAGTACTAAAGTAGCTGTATCAGTTGGATGCGCCGGAATGACGTTCCAGGTTTGTGAGACTCGGAAGGAGAAAGCGTTTCGTCGCCATTTCAGTCAGCCGTATTATGTGGTCAACAAAAAATTAGGACCCCTCAGAGATGCGGTGTGGCTGACTTGTAAAAGTAGTGACATGTGTGTTTCGGTTTCGTATGATCACATACATCGGTATAGAATCTCCCAGTGGACGCTAATAATTTCCCTGTATATGTTCAGAACATATTGCCTGAGTGAGTAGGGGGAGCGGGACAAATTTCTGACGTCCTTCGTCATCCTGGGTTTTGTAATATCCAGCGCAGTGAGGTGGTGCTTCCGCCAGGGTTGCCACGCTTGGATAGCGTATTTTGAGTGCGGTCTCAAGAAGGCGCTAAGCATTTTCGAAAAGTATGGGGTTTCGGACTTATCGAAGGCTTTAAGAAGGAGACCGAAATGTTGATTTGCTTTCTTGGCTTCGTTTTCTGCTTGTCTGAAACTACCAAGTTCACTTTACATGAGCATCCAGAGATCGAACTTAGAAGGAGCCCGCTGTAGAATTTACGGCCGCAACTATGGCGCCGTTTGCTTAGAACTTTGTATTTGCTGGATCTGAACAGCGCATGTTCTCAACTGACTATGTATACGTTTTATCCAGTTCAGCTTCTAGGACTGTGTGATTCTTCACTCTAATGATAGCACGCCGTATCTTGAGATAATCAGCGTGTACTTCGAAATCGGAAGATCGCACCCAAGTGAGATTTTTTCTGAAGACAGGAACGGGTATGGCCCTAGTACGGGGCCCTGAGGTACGCCACACTGAACTCCCTCACACTGGTTCTTATCACAGTGTACTTGGTCTTTATGACATTTACCGCGCGGACGTAAAAGTTCCGGTCTCGTACTCTAATTGGATACACTGATGTGCATCTCATCACCTGGTTGGAGGCATCGGTTCCGGATTTGCCCGTCACTGTGGACTCCATAGGACAGCCACAGAATGCGGGCACCGGCAGCAGGACCATGGATGGTTGGCGCCGCACCAGCCCCATCTCCATCCATACACCCAATATCTTATGAAAATCCGAAGCAATAAGACCGTGTGGCATGTGGATTGGAGCCACGTTTCATCAACGGAGCATACGTTCATTCGATGCAGCTGCGTCAGCGCTATCTAGTGCATTCCATCTCTCGGATCTCATTTGTGTGGATTATCTGTAGTCGCAACATAGGAGTTTTTGCACCGTTCCCACGGAAACACAATCGACAACTTCTCAGAAGCTCACAGCAATATTTGGGGTTTCAAACGAAAGCCAACTCTGAGATCTATACGTCGAGCTTTCGACCACAGTTGTCCACGGCTAAGCGAAGTAACCATCCGAGGTTTTGTGTCCGCATCGCTTGCTCGTTTTACTTAGACTTCATGGAGCTTATTGAGTAAACCATTCGTCTGCTTAATCCTAGTTGCCAACCATGGACGTACCGAACGCCTTGACCTTGAGACTGCAGCGACGGGTAGGCAACCACACCCTGGACTGTAAAGGCATCGATCGACGCAATGGTTTTCAAGGACGAATCAACGGTTGACCCTTATTTCACACCAAGACTGACAGTTGTATGTGGCATAAAAATGTGCGAACCGGAATTCAGTGTTCAAATCGCCGCAAGTTTCATTTTAAGTGTTCGAAGCTCACAGTAAACCAGCGGAGGATACATAATAGCTAACAAAATTCTCAATGGTTCTGTGAAGTATGTATACTCATCCCACTGTTAAAGGTCGTGCATGAACCAACACAGCAATACTAAAGACTGGCTGCAATGAGTGGACAAATGAGGAACATCAAAGTAGATTCAGTTGAGGAAGATTTGACTGTGAGCAAACCCTATCCATTTCCAGTAGGCTCTTTTGCAAAACAGAGGAACAATTCTTGGTAGAGCATTAAAAATGCGTCCCCTGTGGGTTTAGAAGTCAACGCTACAAGCTGCCGAAATACGCCTAACAAATCACCAACAATCCGATTGGAATAAGTACTGACAGGGCCTCATCAACTCTCCAAACTGCGTCAACATTTCAGAAGGACGTCAACACTGTTGGTGGTTGGAACATGAGTTCTGTAAAAATCAACCGGAAACCGGTCTTCAATTACCACACTAGGCCTAAAGTAAATGACGCAAGCAAAGCTGTACTTCTACAGCCTCCACCGATTGTACGCAGACCGGCTAGGGGGTTGACATCAATCCGAGCTACACATAGTGTACCATCGGTATTCTGCACTAATGTTCCAGAGTCAACGTCAAATACCTTAAAAGGAAAACAACAGGATGACGTCAACCATTGGAACTTATTATGCAACATCATAGACGTAGAAGTTAACCCCGCCAAAATGGCACAGATATCGCGTCGCCCAGAATCAGAGCACTACAGTGAACCTAAGATTCTCCGAGGTTTAATGACTTTTGCTGGGGAAGCAGAAGCTATCTTGTTATCGACAGCAAGCCTTCGGAATGGGTCATGTTCTATCTGCAGCTTCCCGGATATTCCGTGCAGCCAGCGCAAACAAGATAAGCACGACTTGAAAGAACACCGAAAGGAACTCGTTGCTAGGACCACCCTTATACAAAGTGTTCCCCAGACTGGAAGTCATGCTGAGCGTGAAGTGACCGTCCAAGACCAATAGCAGTGGCGATACATTCAAGAATACCGGTCCATGGAAGATGTCCTAACGCAAGCGATCTCAAAGCTACGCAGATCGCCAAATTACAAATGACGTGGTCCGAGAATTGTGAACGTTGTGCTTCAATCCAGGCTAATGTCATCTAGAGTGTTGGTGAGCTGGTAGGCCGGCCGTAGCGACCTTCATTCCAAGCTGCGGATAACTACAACATACCCTAAGCAAACACACGAAAGTAGCCAAGTCGTCTGACGACCTCCAGATAACAGCTTGAATAAGTGCACTTAGTTAGCCAGCGAAACTCGCAAACGTGCCAATCATTAGATAGTAGAGAGATGACGGGATCCACGGATCTGACACAGATGAGCTCGTCATTGTCTCACCCAAAAAACGATTAGTTGCCGACCTTTCACCGGTCGACACAACATCAAACCCAAGACACAAATCCCACGACGCACTG